GAAAAAACTGTTCTTGTGTCTAGTTGTTTTGGTGTGCAGTGCTCTATAGTGTCATTTTGAGGGTAGGAGCTGAAACAGTTTATGTCCAGGATGCGAGGGGTCTGTAAATATTTTCATTTTACCTTAGCAACGTAAGGTATCTATGTGCTGTTTTGCTTTATTTTTATTCATACCTCTTCATAGTCTGCTAGTAGCAGCCATCTTCCTTTGTGTTGTCAAGACATTTCAGGTAAACAAGGTTTGTCTTTCATCGCAGCTAGAGAAGGATGTGTTTTAGGCATTGTTTTATATGGGGCTTCCAGATTTGGGCTGCAGAAACCTAGGCAACCACTGGATGGCAGCAAAGAGATTCAGAAATTGAACTGTGTTTGTTCTCTAGTGGTCTTTATAGATTTGGTAACCCCAGTTTATGTATTTGAGAAGACTAAGGGTTTCTCTGTTGACTGTCCATTAAGGAAAGTGCATTGAAGTCCAATCTGTAACTGGGTGAAATAGCATATCCTTTAGTACACAGTCACAAAGATAAGTGTAACCTGTACAAAGAGTAAACCTTCCTATACAGAATACAGCAGGAAGTGCTGTATTTATTTGTTTATTTTATTTATTTGTATGTGATTTAGGGCTTCCTGCTTGAGCAGAGGGTTGGACTAGAAGACCTCCAAGGTCCCTCCCAACTCTGTTATTCTGTTGTTATTATTATATTTTTACAAATAACTCAAGGCAGCAAACATATCCAACACACCTTCCTCCTCCTATTTTCCCCACAACCACCTGTGAAGTGGGTTGGACTGAGAAGAAAATGACTGGCTGAAAGTCACCCAGTTGGCTTTCACGGCTAAGACGGGACTTGAAATCACAGTCTCCTGCTTTCTAGCCTATAGGCTAAAGTATAGCCTATACCAGGGATGGCTAACCTTTTTGCCATCGCATGCCAGGAGGGGGGGGGCGGGGGAGGGTCACATGCGCACGTGCCCACGCGCATCTGTGCGCAACCCCCTCCCCCTCCCCCCTGCTCCTGGCACATGATGGCCTGGTAGGCCCGTTTTTCTTTCTTACCTGGTTCCAGATCCTCTCTGTGTATCTGGGAACGGCGAAAACAGCCTTTCCCACTCCTTTGGAGGCCCTATGGAGGCTGAAAAGGCCCATTTCCCAACTCCCGGTGGGACAGGAAGTGACATTTTTTGCTGTCCCCAGCCTCCAGAACCTCTCTAGGAGCTTCTCTAGGAGTCTAAAGGAGCCTCTCTAGGAGTCTCTGGAAGCTGGGGACAGGAAAAAAGTCACTTCCTGTCCCCAGGAAGTGGGGAAATGGGCCCTTTGAGCCTCCATAGGGCCTCCAAGGAAGTGGGAAAGGCTGTTTTCACTGTTCCCGGATACACAGAGAGGATCTGGAGCCAAGTAAGAAAAAAAAAAGGGCCTTCCCCACCCCCTCAGGCCCTCCAGAGGCAGGAAACAGCCTGTTTCCCTACTTCTGGTGGGCCCAGAAGGCCCGAAAATCAGCTGGCCGGCGCGCGCATGCACCCCAGAGCTGAGCTGGTGTGCCCACTAATATGGCTCCGCGTGCCATCTGTGGCACGCGTGCCATAGGCTCGCCATCACGGGCCTATACTTTAACCATTAAATGAAACTGTTTATACTACATGGATGTACTGTATTTTTCAGAGTATAAGATGCACCTTTTTACCCCCAAAAAGAGGGTGAAAATCTGGGTGCATCTTATAGTCCTAATGTAGCCCCGCCCAGCCTCTGAAACAGAGGTTTCAGAGGCTAAACAAAGCATCTGAAACCTCCGTTTGAGAGGCTGAAAAAAAAGCCTCTGAAACCTCCATTTGAGAAGCTGAAAACAAAGCAAGGTGCACAGCTCACAACCAACGAACCTGTTGCTAAAGTTCACCTCTGGGAACAGCTGATTGGGGGTATTCCGGGAGGCCGATCCATCCCTAATCAGCTTTTTTCTTATTTTCCTCCCCAAAAATTAAGGTGCGTCTTATAGTCCAAAAAATACGGTATTCATTCTTGCTACATCAAAGGAAAGAGTCCCTTGAATCAAGAACTTCAATCAATGCCAGTCATTTCTGTGAGACATAAGGGAAATCTGGCAGCTTGGAAAAATCTGAAGAATTCTATATCATGGTTTGTGTGAATAAACTAGAGTTGAGAAAGAACAACTTGTAATTGCAAGCAGAAAACATTGTGATGAGTTTTGAGATCTCTGTTTTGATACTGATATGTACACCGGCTACATTTTTAACTTGATCCTCTTATCCTACTTCAAAAGCTTGAAAGGGAAACTGCAAAGTTCAATAAGCAATGAAGAGTTAAAAAGAACAGTCAGAGTAACTCTGGAGAATGAAAGGGTAGCCAAAGGTAATTGCTAGAGAAGAAAATAGATACTACAAGGTCCTCATGCAGAAAATAGTCCAGAAATCCAAAATCACTGAAAATTGAAACTGAAAATATCTCCATGGAACTAGATTGAGAGTGATGGCTACAAAAGCACCACAGATTGATTGATTGATTGATTTATTTATTTATTTATTTATTTATTTATTTATTTATTTATTTATTTATTTATTTATAAAATTTGTATGCTGCCCTATCTCCAAGGACTCAGGGCGGCTCACACAACAATCGACCAACAACTGTTAAAATCAACAAATATACACAAAAAATATAAAAAGTTTTTACATTTTTTAAAAAATTTAAAATATACTACCCCATCAGTCCAGGCTGGGGGACATAAATAGCTAGGTTTTCAATTCACGGCGGAAGGTGCGAAGGTCAGAGGCCAACCGGAGCCCCAAGGGAAGTTGATTCCAAAGGGTGGGGGCGCTCACAGAGAAAGCTCTACTCCTGGGGGTCGCCAGCCGACATTGTCTAGCCGACAGCACCCTGAGTAGGCCCTCTCTGTGGGAGCGCACCAGGCAATGGAAAATTGACGCTGGTTGCAGGTGGTCCGACAAATAGCCTGGGCTAAGCCATGAAGGGCTTTATAGGTTAACACCAGCACCTTGAATCTCAGAATAACAGAATAACATTTAATTATTTAACAGAATAACAGAATTAGAAGGGACTTTGGAGGTCTTCTAGTCCAACCACCTGCTCAAGCAAGAAACACTATAACATTTCAGACAAATGGTTGCCCAATCTCTTCTTAAAAACTTTTTTGTTGGAGCACCTACAACAGGGGTGTCAAACTCAGATCGTCATGGCAGTGTCATGTGATATATCAGGACTTCCCCCCCCCCTTCGTTAAACCGTGATGTATCTGGTCCGCAGGCTGGGAGTTTGACAGCCCTGTCCTACAACTTTTGAAGGCAAGTCTTTCCACTGATTAATTGTTCTAGCTGTCAGGAAATTTCTCCTTAGTTCTAGGTTGATTCTCTCTTTGATGAGTTTCCACCCATTGTTTCTTGTCCTACCTTTCAGGTGCTTTGGAGAATACATTGACCCCATCTTCTTTGTGGCAGCCCATTAGATAGGAGAACACTGCTATCATGCCACCCCTAGTCCTTCTTTTCATTAAACTCGCCATACTCAATTCCTGCAACCATTCTTTTGGGGTTTTTTTATCCACCAGTCCTTTAATCCTCTTTGGTGCTCTTCTCTGCACTCTTTCAAGAATCTCAATATCTTTTTTATATCACGGTGACCAAAATTGGATGCAATATTTCAAGTGTGGTCTTATCAAGGCATTATAAAGTGGTACTAACACTTCACATGATCTTGATTCTATCCAGCGGTGAAATCCGGCCGGATCTATCCGGATTGTGCGAACCGGAAGGGGCGGCGCCGGGAGGGTCTGCCCCCCCACCGGGATGTCAATACATCCTGTTTTTGCCCCTCTGCGCATGCGCAGAGGCTCTGCACATGCACAGAAGAGGTGTGTGCGCTCACATTTCCGAACCGGTAGCGAAGGTAAGAGCATTTCACCGCTGATTCTATCTCAATGTTAATGCAGACTAGGACTGTGTTGCCTTTGTTGGCAAATGTAACTCTTCTGTACAAAATATTTTTTGTGTGTGTACCACATGATTTATGGGCAACCCTCCCTCCCTCCTTTCCTTCCTTCCTTCCTTCCTTCCTTCCTTCCTTCCTTCCTTCCTTCCTCTCATTTCTAAATTATAGAAATAATTTGATATTCTGGTGCAATCCTGTTTTATTAACTACTCTGTGACTGTAAAGCACAGTATGTGAATATTCTAAATAGACAAATAGGCTCCAGGAATATCAATGTCAGATTTGAAAGTACAGGGACATTCCTTTCAGGAGATTAGGACAGACATTTCCCATTTGCAAATATGTTCCAATTTAGCCATTAATGGCCAAAGCTACAGAGCAATTTGCACTTTAAAAGAGAGTCAAAGAATATTATTAAGAAGCATCTATTTTACGTTTTGTGAATTTGTGGGTGGGGGAAGAAGCTGATTTGTAATGTGATACACATGTAAATGTGTAATTATTAGGAGAAATCATTCAAAAGAATGTGTTGGCTTCCTGAGAAACAGAAAGGTCTGCTTGGAATTGCATGTAAGCCTTGGCTACCTTGTGTTCAGATACTGCATAATCTGCTAAAAGGAATGATAGAGCCATTGTACTGATGAATCGTTGCATTCTGAAGCATTAAAGAAAATTTATGTTAAAGCAACTGTCACTAAAAACATTAATTAATCAAAGACACTTGCACACTAGACTTTAATTTGATCTCTCTTAGTGAGACATCAATACTACATTAGCTAATCGTTGGTTTAATGACAATCATAAATTGGCCCCTCCACCCCTAATTCTCTCAACTTTCACATTTATCTTAATATTCTGGCTTATTTTGGGATATGATGATATTCTTGCGGATTTATATTTATTATCCCTTGTCACGTTTATGTCTATAATCATCAAATAAAATGCTCTAAACTGAACCCACTACTAATTGTTCCATTGTAGTCATTTGTTGTTTTTCTTCAGTTTCAAGCTTTAAAATGAATTTATGTGCTGGTTTTGTGCAGGCTGGTTTGGCAGATGAAGATTTATTCAGTTACGCATCATAACAGGAAGTGATGAATCAATGAAAATTAGAGTTGGACAGGTAAGTAGAGACGTTGGATAAGTGTTTCCAGCAGGGTCTCGTGCCATCTTTAACAGGGATGGTTACAGCGTGACTGAAAACAAAGATCATAAGAAATGTTCGTGGGAATCTTAGAACAATTAATCAGGGTATAGCCTGCATTTAATTATAATATAAAGAACTAAATTGATATTAAATATGATCACTTCTAAAATTACAACAAAGTAAAAGTATGTAAAAGAATATCAAGTAATCATATCTAAAATGTAAATGAATTATAGTTACAAATCATGTATTGTGTGACATAATGTGGGAATTAAAACAACAACAAACAAACAAAGAGCAATTATGACAATATTTCAATGTCTACATTTCCTTCATTGCAAAGATAAGGACACTTTGAAGTGTAGTTTCTTTCAACATTGGCTTGTTTTTGTCATTCCACCAAGTTCTAAGAGTGTGGTAACTAATTGTTTACAACATTCTAAGAGGAAAAGATCTTTGTGTCTTGCATTAAGTCTTACTATGTGGTTCCTGATTATGGCATAATATTCAAATAGTTTTCATTGAGTTGTCAAAAGATGAGAGGAAACAATTACTTATTGTAGATTATGTGTGCTATAGTTAGATTCACAGTCTAAGATTGGTGGAAATTTAATAATTTATTTGGGACCTAAGTGTCAGATTGTTCTAACAAGTGGCAACTCCAAATATCAACCAACAAATGCTCTGTCTTGCACATTGGCAAAAAAATAAATAAAAATAAAAATAAAATAAATCAAAACATAAAATACAAATTAAGTGGACATGACCTTGTAGATGACCCTCACTCTGTCAAGGACCTTGGAGTAGTCATTTCTAAAGATCTACGTGCCCGAGCCCACTGTAACAACATTGCCAAAAAGGGATTAAGAGTTGTTAACCTAATCTTGCGTAGTTTCTTCTCTGGTAATGTTGTACTACTAACTAGACCATACAAAACATTTGCTAGACCAATTCTTGAATACAGCTCATCTGTCTGGAACCTGCACTGCATATCGGACATAAATACAACCGAGAGAGTCCAGAGATATTTTATGAGAAGAGTCCTCCATTCCTCTAACCACAATAAAATACCTTATGCCACCAGACTTCAAATGTTGGGTTTAGACAACTTAGAACTACGCCGACTTCAGTCTGACCTAAGCATAGTACATAAAATTATCTGTCACAATGTACTTCCTGTCAATGACTACTTCAGCTTCAACCACAACAATACACGAGCACACAATAGATACAAACTCAAGGTAAACTGTTCCAAACTCGATTGCCGAAAATATTACTTCAATAACAGAGTGGCCAATGCCTGGAATGCACTACCTGACTCTGTAGTTTCTTCTCCAAACCCCCAAAACTTTAACCTTAAACTGTCTACTGTTGACCTCACCCCATTCCTAAGAAGTCTGTAAGGGGCATGCCTACCGTCCCTGTCCTATTATGCCTTTTTACTTACTCTTTTCATGTATTCAAATTTATTTATTTATTTATTTATTAATCAAATTTCTATACCGCCCTACTCCCGAAGGACTCAGGGCGGTGAACAGCCAAGATAAAATACAGACAATACAAATATTAAAAATCCCTTAAAATTATTAAATATTTCGGCCGAAACACAGATTAAAACACCCAATTTATAAAATCACAAATTAAAAAATTTAAAATTTAAAAATTTAAAAGAGGGGAGTTAGGCCAGGCCAGCTTGCTGAAATAGAAAAGTTTTGAGAGCACGGCGAAACGTGCGCAGGTCCGGGATCTTCCGTATCTCTGGGGGGAGCTCGTTCCAGATGGTAGGTGCCCCCACAGAGAAGGCTCTCCCCCTGGGGGCCGCCAGTCGACACTGTTTGGCCGACGGCACCCTGAGGAGCCCCTCTCTATGAGAGCGTACTGGTCGGTGAGAGGCTATTGGTAGCAGAAGGCGGTCTCGTAGATACCCCGGCCCGATGCCATGGAGCGCTCTAAAGGTGGTAACCAAAACCTTGAAGCGCACCCGGAAGACCACCGGGAGCCAGTGCAGCTCGCGCAGGAGGGGGGTCACATGGGAGCGCCACGTCGCTCCCATAACCACCCGCGCGGCCGCATTCTGGACCAGCTAGAGCCTCCGGGTGCTCCTCAAGGGGAGCCCCATGTAGAGAGCATTGCAGTAGTCCAAGCGGGAAGTGACAAGAGCATGAGTGACCGTATTTAACGAGTCCCAATCCAGAAAGGGACGCAACTGGCGAATCAGGCGGACCTGATAAAAAGTCCCCCTGGCCACGGCCGTCATATGCTCTTCTAAAGACAGCCGTGAGTCCAGGAGGACACCCAAGTTGCGAGCCCTCTCCGTGGGGGGCAATGACTCGGCCCCAATAGTCAGTGATGGCGCCAACTGACTATATCGGGATGTCGGAAACCACAGCCACTCGGTCTTGGATGGGTTGAGCCTGAGTCTGTTTCTCCCCATCCAGATCCGCACGGCCTCCAGGCACCGGGACATCACTTCAAGGGCATCATTGGGGTGGTCCGGGGTGGAGAGTATCGTCAGCGTACTGGTGGTACTTCACCCCGAAACCACAGATGATCTCACCCAGCGGCTTCACATAAATGTTGAACAGAAGGGGCGAAAGGACCGACCCTTGTGGCACCCCACATACAAGGGGCCTCGGGGTCGACCTCTGCCCCCCTGTCAACACAGACTGCGACCGGTCAGAGAGAAAGGAGGAGAACCACCGTAGGACGGTGCCCCCCACCCCTAACTCCTCTAGCCGGTGCAGCATGATACCATGGTCGATGGTATCAAAAGCCGCTGAGAGGTCTAATAGGACCAGGACAGAGGAACAACCCCTGTCCTGAGCCCTCCAGAGATCATCAACCAACGCGACCAATGCCGTTTCCGTGCTGCACCCAGGCCTGAAGCCCGACTGGAACGGATCCAGATACGACGATTCATCCAGGTACTGGGGGAGCTGTCGCGCTACCACACTCTCAACAACCTTCTCAATGAAGCGAAGGTTGGAGACTGGACGATAATTTGCCAACACTGCCGGGTCCAGGGAAGGTTTCTTGAGGAGAGGCCTCACCACCGCCTCTTTCAAGGCGGCAGGGAAGACACCCTCACTCAAGGAAGCATTTATAATCCCCTGGAGCCAGCCTCGTGTAACCTCCCGAGAGGCCAGCACCAACCAGGTATATTTATACTTTTACCTGTTATCGTATACATGCTTGACAAAATAAACTTATAACTTATAATTGGCAAAAAGAATCAGAACACAAAATACACGACGTTGTAGATGACCCTCACTCTGTCAAAGACCTTGGAGTACTCATATCAAATGATCTAAGTGCCAAAGCCCACTGTAACAACATTGTCAAAAAGGCTTTAAGGATTGTAAACCTAATCTTGCGTAGCTTCTTCTCCGGTAATATTGCACTACTAACTAGAGCATACAAAACATTTGCTAGACCAATTCTCGAATACAGCTCATCTGTCTGGAACCTGCACTGCATATCAACAGTAATATAACTGAATGTGTCCAGAAAGAGTCCTCCACTCCTCTGCTCACAACCAAATTCCTTATGCCACCATACTTGAAATTTTGGACTTTGAAAATTTAGAACCACGTCGCCTTCGGTCCAACCTAAGCATAGCTCATTAAATCATCTGCTACAATGTCCTACCTGTCAATGACTACTTCAGCTTCAACCACAACAGTACATGAGCACACAATAGATTCAAACTTAAAGTGAACCATTCCAAACTCGATTGCAGAAAATACGACTTCAGCAACAGAGTGGTCAATGCCTGGAATGCATTACCTGACTCTGTGGTTTCATCCCCAAACCCCCCAAATTTTAACCTTAGATTGGCTACTGTTGACCTCACCCCATTCCTAAGAGGTCTGTAAGGGGCGTGCATAAGAGCACCAGTGTGCCTACCATCCCTATTCTAATGTTCCTTTTAATTGTATTCATTTTATGTATTCAATTCATGCTTATACTTATATACATCTAATACGTACTCGACAAAATAAATAAATAAAAATAAAATATTATTAAGGCAGAGTCTAAGATTATAGGAAGTTCAAAGCAGGTCTTTTTGTAAAATTAGGGTCTTCAGGTCTGATAAATTCAATATTCCCAGATATTGGGGAAGTCCTTTAGGTATGACTCCAGGGGGCACCAAACATTGATTGGTATCTCAATGGATTTTCTTTTTCTTTAAGTGTTCAACTTTAATCAGCAAGTCCCGATATTTTTTTTCAATTGTTTTTCCTCAATCCTAATATCACCTGAAATAGCAACATTAGTGAACCAGACTTTCTTCTTTTCGATAACTGTTATATCAGGCATGTTATGAACAATAATGCTTCTTCGATCTGAAAGTCCCATAAGATCTTAACCTGTTCATTTTCGAGAACTTTCTCAACTTGATAGTCCCAGCAGTTTTTACTACATTCAAATCCAAACCTTTGGCCAAGGCAAAGTAGATTGTTTGTATGATTATTTTAAATTGATTATAGCTGCCCATTCTCATATCCTTTGGGTGGCTTAGAAATACAAATATAAAACCATAAAAGAGTTAAAATATATAATAATTGCTCTGAAAGCCTTTCCGATGACTAAGGCTGATGCAGCTGCAGTGGCTGAGACACACAAATTCTTTATTGATGGCTTTAATTCAGACTATAAACTCAGACCAAAGGAATTGCTTCATTAATAAGGTAATTAGTGGTTTGAGGCAGGCTTTGGGGATTAATATGAGGCTATACTGTTTGTGTTGTTCAGTTACATACATATTTACAGTAATTATACATAGTTACATGCATAGTTTAGTCGGTGGTTATGTTGCACACTGTGTTCCATTCATGTTCTGCCCCAGCTACGGACCCCAAAGAATGCAGCACACACAAAGTCTGTACAAACCTTAATTTACTAAATTAAATCAGTCTTTTTCAAACAAAGGCTGTTAAGAAAGTTAATTATCCAAAGAATAAATAATCGTAATC